TTTATTGATTAGATTCCAGAAGAATTTTTGAGCTATGAAAAAGCATCTGGGAAGTGCAGAATGGAAGCGTATTTGAACGAAGAAGCCGCCAAACACATATCTTAATATGTAAAGTTAATAAGGTCCCCCATTGCATCCCTTTTTAGATAGTTTCGAACTATGTAGTTCTAAATTCGGCAGATAAGATCTAGATAACATCTAATACGGAACTAGACATTTGATTCACTAGTTCGCGGTCTCCCTGCAGGGAATAAAAACAAGCCATACATATATTTTCACACATTTGCTTAACACACACTTACATATGTGTTTACAGGTTTTGAAAAGTCAACCAAGTCGAGTTGTTAGCTTGACTGTCGCCGAGCTCTGTTTCGCTGTTCTATGAAATTAGGTCATTCGTGAGTTAACTTTGAATAAATTTACAGTATTTTTCTCACTTGTTAATGCTTCTTCATTGTCTTCATGCATCTTCAAATTAATGAGTTTCTATATTTTTAATATTAATTTATATTTTTTTTTCATAGAAAATTTTTATATTTATTTTTTATTGTGTTAATGATGTCGTGCACCAACCCAAAAGCCTACGTATGCATGACTACTAAACGTCAAGCTACTCCCATGGCACGGCTTCTTGTTAACTATGTTGGCAATGTTTTTAATATGAGATGGTATTTGAGTATGTATATGCAAGTGCGTACATATGTATGTATGTATTTTTAAGTGTGTTTATTATTCTTTTGTTTATACTTTGTTATGCGAGTGCTTGACAAAATTTTGTGGTCATGACCTTTTCACACTCTTCTACCCAGCCTATTCTTTCGCACACAATAATTTGTGTATAATGTATCACAGTTTTTGATTCTTTCTATAAAACTCAAAGGAAACATACAATTTAGTAGCATGCACGAAGTACCGCGCCGAGTTTATGAAAGACGTTGATTACAATAAAGTTTGTTAAAGGTCAGCAATGATATTAAAAAGCCACATTATTCTGACCTTAGCGGCTTTTGAGCTCAGAAAAGCAGTGCTGCATAAAGGAAAATGTATTTTTATTCAATAAAGACATATGCATAGTTTTTTGCAGATTTTTATTTTATTTATTTAATATCTATAATGTTTTTTTTAAGTCTAGCACATTACATAAATGACACCACATAAATCCACATTTCAAACTTCTTACAAAAATTAAAAAAAAAATAAATAAATTCAACAAAACTTTAACAATCACATCCAAAAGTTTTTAAATTTTTGTTAAAAAATTTAGAAGCATTTTAGCTATGCAGTTTTATAGCCCATTAAATTTTAGTAGGTTAAAGCGTAAATTTTAAATTGCTGGAAAATCGGGTTGATTTTTAATAATTTCTTTTGCTGACGGTGCTA